CCTCCGCCCGCCGAGGGGCGCGGCCCGGCCCTGCAGGCCTCGCACCAATGCCCTCACAGTGGCGGCGCCCCGCTGGACCGCTCCCCGAGCCCGGGGCCCTCCCCGCTCCCTCCTGGCGGCCCCGCCACAGGCCCGGCCCGGTACCTGCGCCGCGCTCGCCCGGTCGGCCCCGCGTTCAAACCGGCCCCGCCCGCCCTGACCGGGACCGCGTCACGCGCTCGCTGCGCGCCTGCGTCATGTGCACGTCACGGCCCGCGCGGGGAGCGCTGCGCGCCGGCACGGGGCGGAGGGCGGCTAGGGGGCGTGGCGAGCTGCTGTGTTGCTATGGAGATGTCACGCCCACCCCGCCCGAGGGCTCGCCTGCCATTGGCCGAGCCGCTGGCCCCGCCCACTCCGGGGGTCCCGCGTGCCCGAGGAGCCGCGCAGGGCTTGAGCTGGAGGGTGCGACGGGGCTGCTCCGGTAACGAGCACAGGTAAAGAGCACAGGTAAAGCGACCCCCGGCACAGCCCGGCACTGAACCCCCGGCACTGAACCCCCGGCACAGCCGAGCCCCGAACCCCCAGCACAGCCCGGCACTAAACCCCACGGCACAGCCCGGCACTAAACCCCACGGCACAGCCCGGCACTAAACCCCCGGCACAGCCGAGCCCCGAACCCCTGGCCACAACTGGGCCCTGACCCTCGGCCCAGCCCGGCACTGAATCCCCAGGCACAGCTGAGCCCCAAACCCCTGGTCACAACTGGGCCCTGACCCTCGGCCCAGCCCGGCACTGAATCCCCAGGCACAGCTGAGCCCCAAACCCCTGGTCACAACTGGGCCCTGACCCTCCGCACAGCCAGGCCCTGAATTCCCAGCACAGCCCAGCCCTGAGCCCCCGGAACTGCTCCAACTCTCCCGGCACACCTTGGTGTCATCTGGTGTCACCTCAGCAGGAGCAGCTCGGCTCCCTGGCTGTGCCCCTCCTCCCACTGTGAATCCCCTTTATTTACCCAATAAGACTGTCCAGCCATACAGAAATACTCATTTTTAATCAGTCATGATAAATGGTAAACTGTCGACTTTTTCCCACATGGACACCAGTGAAATCATGTGGACAAGGCAGTTACGAGTTTCCACACTTTAGATAGGAAAAATGTGAAATGTGTTAAAAACTATACATTTCTCTCATTTTAAAGATTGTATAAAAACCCGCAACATGTTCAACATTAAAAATCCTTAACCTAAAAAAATAGCACCAGGGAGTTAAAAACCTTTAAAATGTCTTAAAAAGGAATTTCTGAGATCTCCCTCCCTTAACATTTTATAAGCTCATAATAAAAGGCAGCTCTTACAGGGAAAAACATTTCAAGGAAGACTTGTCTACTACAATTCTCATCAAGTGAGCTTAATGCCAAGACAATTCTCATTCCTCTTTTATCTTTGTTTACTTTCCCCAAGTCCTTTTTTTTCCCCTCATCTATTTGTTTTCCTTTTGATCAGATAGGAAAGGATGTGAGATCTGGAGTATATAAGATCAGGGATGCCATGGAGTGGAGGGCACAGTCTGGAAAAATCAAGCCCATTGGACCAGAGGATGGCTGTCACTGTCACCCTGAGCCCCTGCACTGGATGGCTGTTCACCCTCAGGCCCCACACTGGTCTCCAAAAGGGGACTGCAAGGACCTGGGATGAAGAATTAGTGTTGTGGCTGGCGTCCAGCTGGACATAAGGATCACAGACTGGCAAGGAGTCCAAAAGCAGCTGTGGTGCAGTGCTGGCAATGCCAAGGCTTCCCAAACACCTCCAGCATGCACAGAACCCACTCTGCCATCTTCTCAGTCCAGGGGCTGGTGACAAGAGGGTGCTATGTGTCCCCAAGCACTTGTCAAGCATTGGAGGTGCCAGCAGTGACATGGACCAGCCTGCTTGACTTTCCTCAGAGTTTTCTTAACTAAAGTGTGTGGCTTGAACAAGTCACCAAGAATGAACCCCCAAGGAATTCTCTCTAAATTGTAACCTCCAGGTTAAAACAGGAAAAAAAAAGCCTTTAAACTACCTGGGCTTCCCTTGCTGTCCATTCCCAAGCATAGCCTTGGATTGGAGACCAAGACAAGATGGTCCTCAGAGCTGGGACGGAAAACTGCACACAAGGGTGGAAATGGGAGGCTGCTGTCCTCCACCACGAGGACAGGGGTGCCAGAGAGGTAGAAGGAGCTGGGAGAGAAGCTCTTCCCAGTGATGCTGTACAGCACCTTGCAAGAGAGCAAGGCAGCCTGGCATTGATTGGGTGGAGGGTTGGCCCATGGTTTGAACCTGAATAATTCTGAGAAGGCACCCGAGGGCTGTTCCAGAGCCAGGTGACAGGTGAACAGAGGTAGGGAGGACCGAGGGACCAAGGGGGGAGTCGTTTCAGTGCATTGAAATGTGCATTGGAATTCAGAATCCCCAGAGATGCCTGCTGGAACAGTAGCCCTGTGGCTGTGGAAAACCTGGTGGAAACGGACACAGGCACCTGCACCTGCCCGGTGGCCACAGGCTCAGCATGCCCAGGACTTCATGGAAAACATGATAGTAACTCTGGCAAAGCTGGGGAGTAGAGGAAGACAATCAAAAGTGAGCACAGTGGTGGCTGCAGGAGTTCCCAGTTTGGGGGTACAGCTCCAGGAGCCCCCAGGGCACTGCCAGGCTGGGGATGGGCACACAATCCCACCTCTCTGGGATGCACAGGGAGATGGGAGCACAGGGGAGGACAGGTACATCCCCTGCCTGCAGACCCCCAAGACCCCCAGCAGTGGCAGTGCTTTCCTGCCTCACTGTCACATTCCCTGTGCACAGTATGAGATGGGCACAGGCAAGAGCAGTGCTGCACTCCTGGTCCCTGCACTCCACGAGGGTTGGGTGGGATTTTCCCTGGAAGGAATGCCCTACCACCACTGCTTGGGTTCATGACATCCTACATAACATTTGGGGTGCTGAGATTTGAGGGTGCCATTGACCATTACAATGTCCTTCCTGCTAACAAACCACATTCATTTGGGAAATGGATGCTCCAAGAATATTTTCCTTTACAGACCCTGGAGCCCAAATCCTCTCTGTTCCAGTTACTATGTAAGCTTTCAAACCATTCAGCAGGATTTTAAAATGTAAGGAAAGGTTTTAGATGCTTTAAAAAGGAAGTAGTGAATATTTGTAAACTACAACCAAACATATAAAACAATATTTCTTTAGTTCTAGCTAGAAAAGTAATTCTATCACCTCACAGTTCAGTTTCAGCTACATTCAGGTCTAGGAATCTCCACATTCTTAAGTAATGCCTTAAAGCAGCAATAGACATTAAAAAAACAAAATTCAATTTTATAAAAAAAAAATAAAAACAAAAAAGATTTGGTTTCCGTATGATCCTGTGTTCAGTGTGTAACCTGAGCAGGGTCCCTTACACCTGCTGCTACGGTTTGGGGGTTTTTGGCAGTTACTTCAAGAGGTTTTGTTTGTTTAGGAAAAGCACCAATTCACTGTAGTTCAGGTTTGCCTGCAGCTCCCCAGCAGCTGCCCGCACACTGCTGCTCAGCAAGTGGTGACTTCCCAGCTCCAGGCTAAACCAGAATAGTTAATGCTCTGGGGGATGAGACTCCCCATCTCATCAGTGATGCATAGAGCTCTGTGTGCTGGGTAATTAAAGCTTCGTCCATCATTTCCTACTACGTATCACTGTTAGTCCCTTTAAAGAAGTGACCCTGCCAGGTTCTTTGGTTACAGACATTCCTCGGCTCCCCCGGCGGGGCCAGGTTGCGGCGAGGGACGGGGCTGTGACAGTCCGGTGGCCGTGCCCGTCCCTCTCCCGCCACAGCAGCCGTGCTGTGCATCTTTACCAGAGAGACGAGGGACGCTCCAGTTTGCTATTCACAGGCAAAGTAATCCTTGAGCGGGGAGAAGAGGTGCCGGATCACAGGGACATTCCACGATCCCCCCAGCAGCTTCTGGCGAGTCCCACGGCTGATGTTGGAGACTTCTGTGTAGGGGAGGGGGAAGCCAAAGATCCTGCAGAGCAGAGGCAGGAGAGGGTAGGTGAGGCAGAGCAGGAGCAGGAATCCCTTTCCCTGGGCAGCACTGCTCCCAAAGACAATGAGCATCGGGAGTCTTCTATGGGGACATGATTCGGCTCTCCAGCACATGACCTGAGCAGTGTCACCATCCAGCAGTTCTGGATGGGGCCAGGACTTTTCTTTCCGCCATCCCCAGTGCCCTCCACCTTGTAGGATTTCCTGGCAAGGCTCCTGTGCCTGTGCCTGCCTCTGCTCAGCAGCACCTCTGCAAGCATTGCCCGGAGCTACTCCATGGAGAGGACTGAGTAGCTCTGAGTAGCTCTGAGTCATGGGCTGGGCACTTCCCTTACAATCAGATGAAAGTCCAAGAGCCATTTCACCATGACAAAGGCTTGCAATTGTTATTTTACTTTCAAATGCCTTTAGCTCAGTGTTAGCTCAAACAAATACTGGAAATTTAAATATGAGCAAGCAAAATTATTTAGCCCTAGTCCTGTGTTTACTGGCCAGAAGCATGCTCAGATTTTGTCACACCTACTTGGTGAGCAGGACTGCTTGTAATTAGATTTATCTACTCCCAGTCCTTCTGTTGTTTTGCCATGAATTCAGGGTGCTACAGGGTGTGAAGTGTGGAGCAGGGTGCACTCATGCCTTGCCACAGCAGCTGCTGGCTGTAGTGTGAGCTCCGTGGCACCACCGACCACAGCCACAGTGGCCCCTCCATGAACCCACAACCATGGCACTGAGCAGGGCACAGAGCTGCCCCACAGCACCCCCACATCAGCCTGGGCCATACCCCAAAGACAATCCACGTGTGCACCCCTAGCCAGACCCACGACACAGCATCCTGAGCAAGCCCCACCACTCCTCCCTCCAAAACCTTCAGGGGCCAGGGCAGGGGATGCTGCTACACTTCTCCCCTGCAGTCTCATCATTGCTTATTAGTAAGTGCATTAATTATCATGTGCACATCACTGCAGGGAAGCTGCCCCGTGCGGGAGCTTTGGCTCCTGGGAGCTGGGCTTAGAGCCAGGGAGATAAAAAAATCCACATGAACAGGCACTACAAAACAAACCAAAACTACCATGAGAGATCCAAGAGGACAGCAGACTGACTGATTACCTGTCCATCCCAGGGAGGTTGCCCCAGAAGTAACGAGCTCGGTGGGCAGCTGATATCTTGATCGCATCAATCATAACTGGGTTACACTGGGGGCCAAAATGAGGGGAAATAAAAGTTAGAGGAAATGTTGGCTTGATTCTCTCCTGCATGGACAGCCCTTCCCACTGCACTGCAGGGATTTAGAAGTCGTCAGCAAATCCTCAAAATTATGTAGCTCCCACAAACTCTTTTTTACATCAGAGAACAGCATGGGTGGCCACATGAACTCTCAGGTCATGGCAATGGCCAGCAGCTATTGACCGTCACAGGGTGCTCAGTGCTGATTCCCATGGACCAGGACCAGGACTGACAGCCTTCAATGGTGATTTTACACCAGTGGTCCCTGCTGACCCACAACTCATCCTGGCTACCACAGAGTTAAAACTCCTTCCCACTCGCTGACCCACCCTCTCCCTAGAAATAACAGGCATTGCTGGGAACAGATGCTTTCTGCAAAGCTGGCAAAACCCCTCCCCCAGAGGACTAGTGCTTGGGTTTGACTGATGAAAGCCAGAGGGGTGGATCCAGAGCCAAGACTAAACTTGATTCCTTGGCATGTGCACCGGGCAGGGGGTTTTCCAGCATCAGAGCCACAGGAAACCATAGCCAGACCCTCACACCCGGCACACACCCTGCACAGCCCAGCAAATGTCACCTGCTCCAACGCCTTTCCCACAGCTGTCAGCAATCCCTACCTCCAGAAACCGGGAAATGTCCCTCTTGTCGTTGAGCCTCATGGCCACCACATTCTCAAACATCCAGAAGAAGGGCCGCTCCTCGCCCGCCTTGGGACGAGCGTAGTTGAGCAGGTGGTAGAACTCGAAGAAAAGCCTCCCGGTTCCTTCTGCGAGGAAAAAGCCGAGCAGCAGGTTGGGATCAGCTGGGACACGGGGTGTGGGGCTGGGGGGCCTGGCCGCCCTCCCCACCAAGATGGGTATGGAGACAGCCAATACAGCCATGGGGCTGGACCACTTCCCCGGGCTGTAAGGTGGTTCCATGGCCCAGGAACATCCCAAGGTATGCAGCCCAGCAGAGGCAAAGCAGCCTTACCAAAGAGCGCCTTCCTGGTGGGATTGACAAGGGAGACATCGTCACAGGGGGTGCCACCGATCACCAGGTCAAAAGGACCCCACTCCTCAATCTACAGAGAACAGAATCCAGACCATTAGGAGATGACACAGAAACAAGTCTCTCCTCCCCCATGGGGCAGGGCACAAGCTTGTCCCAGAGCTGGTGGGGTGAGAGCCATGTCCCCCAGGCTCCCACGGAAGCAGAGCTCACATTTCTCTTGGTTATGTTCCTGACATCACGCACGTAGGTGATGTTGCCCTCAGGGCGCATGGTGCTCGAAGCCATGGGGTTCTCACAGATCTCTGAGGCAATGTACTTCTCCACTTGGATGCCCAAGTCCTTCAGCACCGTGTACCCTGCCAATGGACAGAGGTCTGAGGTCGCAGTCCTGCTCTCTTTAGGCTCCGAGTCTCCTTCGTCAGCACCACTCGATTTGGCCGCTCCTGGATGTCCTAGGTGGGTGCAGTCAAACAGCACTTCAGGGTGAGTAAACTTTTATTTGACCCATTCCTCCAAGTAGGTCTGCTCCCAGAAAGCAGAATGCCAGAGCTGAGTGAACTGAGCCAAACCAGTTGCCCTCAGGCACTTCAGAGTACAGGTTACTGGTGTCCTCACAGCTCTGGCTTACCAAGGAAACCAGCCAGCCCAGATCACGCTTGGCACAGCAGAATACCTCTGTGAGATGCCCACACATGCCCTCCCCTCCCATCCCTTCCCCTTCCGTGCCCTCACTCCAACCCTCCCCTCCTCCACAACCCTATCCAGCAGGAAAGGGAGACCCTGCCCTCAGCCCTCTCCTGATCGGGATCTCCCTGCTTTCATCCCCTCCTCCCCATCAAGCTTTTAGAGACAGGTCTGAGCCCATGGAATGATTCATCTCCAATGCCCAGTGCCAAGAGCTGCTCAGCAGTGCTTCCCTACTGCCTCACCTGTTGCCACCCCATCGAACAACGAGAGCACACGAATTGGTCTCCTCTTCGCTGGAGGAACTGTTGGGTAGATTTTGGGTGCAGCCTGCAATGGAGACAGCCATGAAGCCCCAGCCCTGGCAGTGCTGCTTTGTCCCATAAGGCTCTGAATGCAGCACCTCCACCTTCAGGAGAGCATCTGCAGGACCATGAGCCTGGCACCCTTGGAGAGGGTGGATGAACAAGACCAAGGCAGAGGGAAGGGGAAGTCCAGGTTGCTCACCCTGCCCTCGGTGACCCTCTTCCCCACATCCCTTCCCCCAGCCCTTACATATTCCTGTCCCTTGTCACTGGTGAAGAAGTCCTGCAGGCGAGTGTTCCAGTCCTGGCGGCGCTGCAGCACGCCGCGGTTCTGCTGGGGCTGGCACATGTAGCAGTTCCAGGGCTCCTGCTCTTTTACTCTGGCCGACGTCCCTCGCCCCACCAGCACATCCAGACACTCCACACAGAAACACCTGCCCAAACCACAACAGCTGTGCTTGTCACCCCACCAACTCCTTTGGGTCACTCCAGCTTCTCCTAGAGTTTCTCCTGCCATGCACCACAGCCTCCACCATTTTACAGGATATTTTTCCAGGCAATACCCTGGTTTTTAGGGCTGCTAACTCGAGCTGGTGACCAAGGCATGGGTAAGTCTCCTGCCAGCCTCCACAGGGCTTATTCGGGTGATACCTGGCTAAGTAAGGGCAGGCAGGCTGTGTTGGGACACAGTGCATGGCAGCCAGCTGGGGAGAAGCACACCCCCTTCCCAGGTTCATGGAGGACCCTGCTTCCTGCAGCTCCCTGGGAATGATGCCAGGCCCTCAGCCCCAGGAGCGGAGACTTGGGGCTCACCTGCAGCAGCTGGCATTGCTGCAGAGCAGCAGCTCCTTGCCTGCACAGCAGACGGTGCAGTAGGACTGGTACCCATCTTCATCATACATGTAGAAGTACTCCAGGAATCTATCCTAGCAAAAGGACAGCGAGGAGCAGAGAAGGACAGAGGATCAGAAGCCATGCTCAGAGGATAGAGAACACAGATTTGCTCCATTCCCAGTGCAGACATGCACATCTTTGGTGTTTCAGGTGGTGAGAACATGGTGAGGGACAGCCCCATGGGGACACAGCATGGCCAGGACCTGGCACAGCCAAGCCCTGGTCCCAGCAGCACTGGCTGGACCCCAGCCCCATCCTCTGGCCCCAGGTTCCTGCTCAGCCCCAGCACAGCAGCACTTACCCTGCAGGTCTGGCAGAGACCCCCCTTGAACAATGGGTGGAAGGTGGCTGGGTTCCTCCTCCCGCAGGACAAACAGCTGTCTGTGGGACAGAGAGAGCTGTGCTCACCCAGGGCAGGGACACTTTACACCCCACCACAGCCTGCAGAGGCTGGAGCTTTGCCTTGGACCCATGTCTGGATAAAGCCTGGCCTCAGAACTGCATCCAAATGGGGCCTGCCATTGGAACCACATCTGGATGCAGCTGTGGCTCCCCATGGAGGATCGGCTCCGCACCCTGCACTCACAGCACTGTACCCCTCCTGCATGGTGCAGCTTAAAGGGACCCACAACCCTTGCTGAGCACTCCCAGCACCCCACACCTCTTCCAAGAAGACACAGGGCCAGCGTTTACCTTCCAGATTCCCGCTGTTGTTCGTAACTTCGGAAACCATTTGCTCTTTATAAAATTGAAAAGAAAAAGAAAATAAGACATTATCATTCCTTATGTAACAAACTCTAAATGCACTCTGCTTACAGGTACCTTATTTCTTGCATTAGAACTGCTCCAGCTTTGCTGAGAGATTTTGGTGCAAAACCCACATCTTTTCACTGATGGAATTACTAGAGCTCAGTGTAGCAGCACATGGTCATGCTCAAAGCTGAGCCACTAGTGGGGCCCAGCCCATGACTTGCAGTTGGATTTGCTGATGTCTTGTTAAGCACAAGTGAGCATCACTAGACCACAAAATCTTTTGCCTTCAGAAACCAGGCTCATGGTCCCTGGGAAGAACCAAGCCCTTTGCCAGAATGGTTTCCCAGTGCTCTCAGGGTGCACAGCCCAGGCCAAGCCAGTCCCCAGCTCTCTGTTGGTTACCTCGGGTCTGGTCCTCTTCCACACGCTGCTCTTTGCTGTTGTTGCATGGGTAGGTCTTCAGCCTCTTGGTGGGGGGACACTGCTCAAGGGACACCACCTCCTCTGTCCCATTCCTCAGCACCCCATTCTCTGCAAGGAAAAGGAACATCCATAAGGACAAGCCTCCAGCCTCTGGACTGTCCCAGGGCACCTCCTGCTCCTGCCAGGTCCCGCCCCAGCCACAGCAGGACCCTTCCTGGCCACCCGGGTCCCCATACATGGCACAAGGCTCTGCCAGGTTCGATTTTCACGGGGCTTGGAGGGTGCTTGGCTCCAGCTTTTTGCAATGCCACTGAGGGGTCCAGCGAGAAGCCCCAGGATCACCTTTGGACTGGACTGGCATGGCCACAGCACAGGGTGAGCAGGCTCAGCCAGAGCCAGCCCCCAGTGGCCACTGCCCATGTCTGCCCCCCACCAGCCCCAGCCAGCTGATGCCACCACCTCACCTGAGCCTTTGGGTGGCCGCAGTCCCTTGAGCCCCAGGGGTTTGAAGCCAGTGATTGCCCAGTCAATCATGGGCTTCAGCTGCTCCTCCAGTGACTCCCTGGGGCCAGTTGTAAATGTCTTCCCTGACCGGCTCCGGGCAACCTGATGAGGATGGACAGCAGGGGACAGGGTGACAGGATGGTCTTTGTCAGGGGAGCAGCCACAACCTGCCAGGGCCACAGCCCCAGGCCCCCTCCCCACCCAGCACACACACACACACACACATAGGGCTTGGTGGCCCCGGGACAGTGGCAACTGATGGATTCCCGCTCTGGGTTTGCCCTTGGCCACACTCTGGTGCCTCCACCCCTGCAATGAGCCCATCTGTCCTCCACCAGCCCCAGCAGGGCCAGAAGTAGGGACAACAAAGCCACAGCTCTTGCCCAGATTCTGCACCCTGGCAAGTGGCAGGAAGAAAAGGCAGAAGAGATGCCTGTGGGTCTACAGCCCCATAGGGTGACATGTGATGCATCCCTGGGATGGGGACTGGATTGCTGGGTGGTCAGCATCAGCCCTGAATTCAAAGGGCATTTGGCACCTCTGGCCAGCCTGGCACTGCCCTGCTGCCATGATGCTGCCACATCCAAGCCCTTACAGGGAGCCTGACCTGGGGTTCTGGAGCAGTGAGACCCTGGAGCAGCAGCAGCTACCCCTAAACCCTCAGGATAAGCAGAGTCTGGCCCCACAGCTGCACTTGGAAATAATCTCAGCAGTGAAAGGAGGGTTTTACTGCATCCCGTCCCACTGGGGCCCTCCAGCCCAGCTGGTTCAGCTGGCACCTCCTCACCCACCCACTCCTGGTGGTTACCTCCAGAGCATGGTAAATGGCACGGCGGTAGGACACCAGCTTGTTGAACGTGGAGGAATTGAAATGCTGCCTAAAGGCCATCAGTCCCACCAGTTTGTCTGCAGAAACCTGGGAGAGAGCATCAAGATTTCACCTGTGAGATAGGAATGCCCTGCTGGGCCATATCCCCCAGCACTGTGCAGTCCCCAGCTCCAGCACTGTGGCAGCTTCGCCAAGAGCAGCAGCGTGACAAGGACGGGTGGGTTGCACCCTCTGCTGGCACTGCTGCAGTGACACCATCACAACACTTCCTCCCTCCTGCCTGCAGCATGGGTGGGGTTGGATATCCTCGATGGATATTAGGAAAAGGTTAATGGTTGGGCATTACAACACACTCTCCAGGGAATTGGTCATGGCAGGAGCCTGACAAATCTCAAGGAGTGTTTGGATGACACTCTTGGGCATATAGTGGAATTTTAAGGTTGTCCTGTGGAGGGAAAGATTGTGACTCAAAGATCTTTGTGGGTCCCTTCTAATTCAGGATACTCTGATCCTGTGAGGGTGATGGGGTCTGAGGGGACATCCCTCCCCAGGCAGGGAGTGATAGGGGAAGCTCTGGAGCATGGACAAAACCCTGTGAAATGGCCAGACAGATGTCCCCGTGTCTGGATGCTGTCACCAACCCACCAGTCATTAGTTACAGACACCAGAGCCATGAGAACCTGCCAGGGCCTGGCTATGCTTAACACTGGGAGGGGAGGCCTGGGGGTTGCAGGAGCACACACACCCCACAGCCAGCCTCAGGAGTGGGGCAGACACGTGCAGGGAAGGGTATTTTGGGCTGGGCAGCAGGCTTACCTCAGAGAACTTCCCGTCTCCAAACCACTGCACCCACCGCATGCCCGAGACTGCCTGGCGCTTGGCCGTGGCTCTGTGGGACACGACGATGGCAGGCCACCAGGAAAAACCTTTGATCTTTCCCCAGACCAGCTCCCCAATTCCAAATTCCTTCCCATCCTGAAAGTACAACGCAACAGATCAGCCAAAAGTACAAACTCTCCATTCTTTCTGGGCAGCCGTGCAGGAGAGCCCTGGAGCACGGGGGACAGCCCTGGTGTGTCACCATGTGTGTCACCACGTGTGTCACACGTGTGGAACCTCTGTGCAGTGATCTACAAAAACTGCAGCCCCTCCCTCAAGCAGAGGGCCAAGCCATTCCCCTCCAGCAGCCCTGGATCCCAGCCCTGATCCGTGCTGAAGCCAGGCGGGGAGGGCTGTGTGTGCCAGCCCCACGCCGAGCCCGTGCCTGGCACACGGCGTGGTGCATGCTCCATCCTGCACAGCCCACCTGGCACCGGGCCCCGTGCGTGTCCACTCCTGCCTGCCCTGCCAGGGTCTCTGCAAACACGGGGAAGCCTTGCCCCAGCCTTGCACCAAGGTTGTTCCCTGGGTGCCCTCAGATGAAGCTCATCCTTGGAACAGGGCAGCCCCTTCACAGGGCTCACAGCTCAGCCTGTGCCCTGTGGCTGCACCCCAGGCAGGGGACACCCACCCTCCCTCCTCTTGTTCCTACAGGGGAGAGCAGGAAAAAACAAAGCAAAAACAGAGAAGGAAAAGAAGAGCAAACAATTTTGGTGTGACACATCGAAGGCCATGCTGGGTGCTGTGCACAGCAAGGCACCTCACACAGAGCAAAGTCACCTCTCTGTCTGCAGAGCCCTCCTTCCCAGCTTTGTTCTGCAATTAGGTACTTAATTATGCAGCAAGATACAATTGCCCAATTCCTGCAAGTCTGGGGCCCTGCCCTGGGGCCCGCAGGCGCTGAATCCCGCTCTGCAGCTTCGATTCTCTCCAGCATCCCCATCCCCGACAGAAATGTTTTCTGCACATGCAACTGCCTGTCTCAGCAGGGCACGGCACTCGGCACACGCCTGCGTGTCTCGGGGGGCCCATGTGTGGCACCAGTGGCCGCTTGGCAGGGCTGGTCCCCAAAGCATCCAAGCCTGAGAGATGGAGACAGCCCAGCACCATCACACCCCAGGCACGCAGGGAAGGTGGGCAGGAGAAACAGCACTGAGGTTTGCAGTTTGTCTTGGGACAAGTCACAGAGGTTCATCCTTGTCCCACACCATCCTGGGTGCAGGAGCAGAGTTCAGCCCCTCCGTACCTGGTATTCCAGTGCCGTGCCCATGTCTCTGCTCTCTGACTCCTCGGCCCCCAGCTCAGCAGAGCCGTTCTGCCCCTCCTGGGAGCTGCTACCAGAGAGTGTGCTGCTGCTCCGGGATGAGTCCTGGGAGTCCTCCTCCGTCAGGTCAATGGTCACGGGTGTGGACACGGCTGAGCGACGCCTGGAGCTCTGCATGGCAGAGGCAGGGGAGGGTGAGTGCAGCAGGGAGAGGGACAGGGGCAGTAGAGACCTGTCCCACATCACCCCCCATTCCCCACATCACACCCAGCCCTGTGTCATCCCCCAGCCCTGCAGTTGGGATGGGAGAGGGGGAGCCAGGGAGTGAGGGCACCACTGCAGCCATGAATAGAGAGGAAAGCCCTTAATCTGCAGGAAAACTGCTCTGCTTTTACCTGCCAGACCCAGAGCAAGTGGTGCACCACTGCCCCCTCCTATTTTCCTGTCCCAAATCCACCCCAGGATGATGCTCAAGGCACCCAGTTCATAGCAGGGACAAAATACAGCACAAACACACCCCCTTCACAGGGGAAACTGAGGCACGGGGAGGCTGCACCATCTCTGAAGACACCTGACCAGGGCACAGCAGCAGTGCAGGTCTCTGGAGCCCCAGGGAAGCCCTGGCCCTGCCAGACCCTCACCCGCACGGGAGTTGGCAGGTCCCTGAGAGTCTCCACACTGCGTGGTGGTTCCTTGATCCGCATCCTGTGCCGGGTCCGCCCTGCCTGGAACATGAGGCAGAGGGTGGGCTTCTGCCTGAGGCTGCTCTCCCACCCAGCACTGCCCCAGGGTTGTGCCTGCTATCAGAACAGACGGGTGCCATGGCATGGGTGCCCTCCTCACATGGGGACACGGAAAGTCTGTGCCTCATGGGGCTGAGCATCACAGGCACCCTGGGGAAGGTGAGAGGAGGCAGATGGATGCTGGAGGCACCTTGTGCTGAGCCCCTTTGGGCAATATTCTGCTCCACAGCATCTCTGGAAGGCTCAGGAGCCTCACTGCTGCAGCCCACTGCACCCAGCATGACAGAGAGAGCAGGAGTCACAGCTGGGAGGGCTGGGATGCCAGGAGAACCACAGACCACGGCAGACCACCCATCCCAGGCAGGGACCCACTCACACTCCCTGGATGCTTTCACATTCCCAGGGGTGCTCTTTCCCACAGCCAGCCCTGCAGCAGCACCCACGGCAGCCTTTCCCTGGTGATCACAGTTACAGTCCAGCCTGGACTTGTTTCCTGCACCCAGCATAACAGAGGTTCAAAACCAAATGAGATTTTGCAGTGAAGAGCCCCCAGACTAAACAGTGGGAAAGCTGAATTTTCACCCACTGGATTTATGGCTCTTTCTTTTGGAAGCTGCCTCATCTCAGGCAGATCTCCAACCTTGAGTTTTAATTCTAACTCAAAACAATAAAGCCAGAAGGCAAAAATGCTTCCAGACCCTGGAGGTTTGTCAACCTAGTCAACAAAAGAGGGCGGGTGAAATTGGGGTCCAGCCTCACAGCAGCTAAAAGCAGCTCACCCCAACAGTGGGAGGCACGAGATGCTTCATTCTATCAATATAGCCAAGACTTTAAAAGAAAATAATAATTATAAGGCTGCTACAACATGTAATGGGCATTGCTGCATCCCACACCACCCCCTCCTACTGCTATGGTATCATGAGAAGCAGGAATTTAAAAATTAAAATATTACACTGGTGAGTACTGCATCCATCACTGGTCTGTTCCTCTGGCACTGAGCACAAGAGAAGCCCAGAGGGAAAGAGATTGAGGATCCTGGAACCAGATCCCCCCCACAGCCCCCCAAAAGCACCCTGGATGTTTACTTACCCTCTGCGCCAGGTCAAGTGGCCAGGCCAGGTCCTCCTTGGAGAGGTCTCCATTGCTGTCCTCCTTCTTCAGGGGGATCAGCCCCAGGCCCCTGGAATCTGCAGAGATGAGACAGCAGCCTCAGGCTCTGCAAGCCCACCTGGCCATGTGCCTGCATGCCCCAGCCTCCCACTGCTCCCACAGCACGTCAGGATTTGGAGACACCAAAACCTCATTTCAGAGAAACATGGCTGAGAGCAGAGACAAGTGGTGTCCCCTGGGCTCCCCATTATGGCACCACAGCCCCAGATCACCCACCTGTCCCTAAAACTGGGAGGGATTAGCAGCAAGTATGGGGACATTCTCATCTACTCCTTTGTTCCTGAAAGTCAAAGGTACAAGGAGGCCACAGCCTCCCCTTCAGGGCTTGTCACTTAAAGCAAGACCTTGTGAACCCAAGAGGTGAGATTTGGGATTTGGAGTATCCCAGGAGCAGCAATGCAGCCCCTGAGGTCAATGGCACCCCTCAGGCTGGAAGGGCTCCCCTGCTTTCCTGACCCCATGGGAGTTAAACTATTGAGGGGCAGAGCCAGCATCCCAGTGTGGCACTCATTTCCACAATCATACCATGGCCTGGATGTGCTACTGGATCACAGAAATCCAGTGGGGTCATGGAGGGACTCTGGCCATAGCCACAGCACTCCATCCCCAGCAAGGCCCCAGTACAGAGGCTGTGATACCCCCAGCCCTGTGCATCCTTGCACATCCTGGGAGCACTCTGGGCTCAGCAGGTGACCCTCACCTGGAGTGCTGGGCTTCCCATTCGCCTCCAGTACAACGCCAGGTGCATTGTCCCCATTGATGAGAATCAGCTTTGCCCTACAGTCCTCATCCTGCCCGCGGCTCTTGTCCTTTTTCATGGCTGCCTGTAGAAGTCAGAATGGAAAGGAAATTCAGTTGTGCAAGGAAGCCTCGGGGAGGGCAAAGCAGTCAGTGAGGTTCTTGAGCCAGTTGTAACTTCATGCCCTTAGCAGAGCTGTCTGACTGGAGATGCATCTAAAGCTCCTGGGAAATCAAGGGCACTTGCACATAACCTCCACACAAATGTGGTGGCCCCAAAGATCAACCAGCTTCATCTAAAAGACCCCAGATGCAACCCACTTATCTTTAGGGAACACCAGGTTTTCTCCCAACATCTGTATGCTGGCTCGGAGCTGCGAGCACCAGCTCACACTGACAGACCCTGCCCAGAGGGGAGCTGCACTTCCTGGCCACCCTGTAGAGACAGGGGACAACCCACCCCTGGGGACAGCCCACCCCTGGGGCACCGGCCTCCCTGTATTCCAGCTACCCAGCACACCCAGAGGTGGGTGGGCTGTTCCTGCAGCAGCAGGACAGGCAGGCAGCCCATGGGGGGCAAAGTCCTGGAGCCTGCATTCAACTCTCCCGGAGGGAGAAAACTCCTCCTGCCCCCGCTCTTGGCCTCATCTCCCCCGCCCCAGGGTGAAAGGGCAGAGCAGGGGGCTGTGCCACAGCACCCCAGCACCCCTGCCCTGTGTCCCCCTGCAGAGCTGGGGCTCTCCTTGCTCGCTGCCTTCCCTTGGGTGTCCTCTCTGGCTCCTGTTTTCTGCAGTGGAAGCTCCCAGAGGCACCCGGATGCCATGAACTGTGCTGCCTCATTGTCGGGCTATGGGTCTGTGCTGCAACTTGCCCCTTCAGCAGCACAGTCATTTTAGCAGCACACGTAACTCAAGAGCTGAGGAGCTCGCAGGGCTTTGCCCACCGACAGCCCTGTTAGGAAGCCAAAGCAACACCCCCCTCTACCCCAGAGAGACCCCAGCTCCAGCCCACCGCCCCTTCTGCGTCACTCTCGTTCTGCATCGCCTCCAACCACTGCCCTAACAATTGAGATTTCTGCTTTGAAATCATCTGTCAGCACCTCTGACAAACAAAGACCAGTGTGAGTTTGATGTTTTGGACGCAGAGGGCAGAATTAAAAACCTGGTAACACTCAAAAACACAAAGGAAAACAGGTGTCCAGAGCCCATCTCCACAGGCAGAGACCCCGGTGTACATACTGCCTCCCCCTTGGACAAAGGGAGGAGGAGAGGAGTGGCACCAGACACTGCCTAACCCCTCACAGCTGTGTGTGCTGAAATCTCTCTGCTGCAGCACATCTGCTCTCAGGCCCAGCAAACAATTCCTGGGAGCTGCCCAGACTCGCCGCCTGCCCCCGGCCCAGGCGGAGGGTCCCACATGGCCCCAGATGCTCCAGGATGCAGCAATCCACCTCGGACCAGCACGGCCAGGTCAGGGTCAGCTCCTCCTGGTCTGCTCCCCCTCCCTAGCCCATGATGCTGCAGAGCAGCAGCAGCTATGACTGGCAGCAATGCTGCCACCAAAACTCACCAAAAAAAGTGAATCTCCCTTGGGAATCCCTACTGGGAAGGGTTAAGGCATCCTGCTCTCTTAGCATGAAGGTGATCTGAACCAGAGGGTATAAGGAGATGGAGCTGCATCAGGCAGATAAGATTCAGGGAGAACAGAAGCAGACAAGGATATCTCCCAGCCTTCCTAAACACCCACAAAAGTCCACTGGGACCCTCAGATGACCTCTACATTCATTCCTTTGTCAGGAACCGGAGTCCCGGAAGTTCAAACTTGCACTTCAAAATGGCTTTTCCTTTCTCAGCATAGGACTGCCTCATGTCCAGCACACCAGGCAAGGATGTCCCATCAGCCTAGCACGGGGGAGGTGAAGGGCTAAGGTGACACAGTGGCCAGGTCTCCCCTGGGACACAGCCAGGACTGAACACCTGATGGCCCAAGCTCAGCTTTGACACTGCTTAAGGAACTCTGACATGGCCTTTATTCCAGTTATAAAGTGGGAAAAAAAGGGTTATCTCTTTGGAAGGATCTGCTCACTGGCAGAGCAGAGACCCACAAGTCACAGCTCTGTGGGTCCATGGCACAGGCCACAGGCCCTGCCATGAGCACAGGCACATCAGCCCCTGTTTGATCTGTGCCCTTCTCTAGCTGCACTGCCCAGGATCACTCAAGGACATCCCATCACCATCCTCTGATGGGAAAGGGAACAGCACACCGCGGCACAAACTGCTCATTGAAAGTCCATCTCCAAAAATCCTACACCTATGCAGCAGGACTGCAATTCCCATCCCTTCTCCTGCTGTTTGCACCAAGTGCTGAAGCCACACGAGCCCAACCTGCTGCCCACCGACCACCCAGGGTCCCCTGCAGGAGCCACATCCTTGTGAGCTCTCCTCCTGCTCGGGAGGAAGCCTTGGTTCTTTGTCCTCGCCTGCCCTCGCAGAAACACACCAGCATGTGCACTCAGGGCATTAGTAATAAGAAACAGAGCACTGCCCTCACATGTGCTGGCTCACGGGAGACCAACCCTGCAGCGTTTGCATCACCCAGCAATTGCCCTGCAAACACACCGGGTGCTCCACAGTCATGCACTCCTGAGAATCCATCAGGAGGCAAATAATGCAGAATTCCAACTCCATTGCCTAGAGCTCCCCAAGAGCCCGGCAGCCCGGCACTGCATGGTGACCAGGACGTGCCCTGCAGCCAAATCCCACCGAGAAGACAATGAACCCGCTGACTCCACAGCCCGCCCTCATTTTGCAATACCAGTTTCCTTAAGATTTGCCAAACTGGTTAAAGACCATGCCACAGCATTAACTGCTTAGAGAGAATTCTGGACCCTGCCTGGCCACCACTGCTGGCCACCCTGGAATGGGCAGAGCAGGCAGAGTGGGCAGGACGGCTGGGCTCACCTGGCAGAGAGGGCAGGGTGGGCAGGGCTCACCTGGACGGGCCATGCTCTGGACTGGACCCCTGCCCCTGCTCCCGGGGCTGCTCCTCCAGCCTGGTTTCAGTTTTCCTTGCTGGGAAAACAGGCCGCCCTGTTATCAGGTGCATGTCCCCAGGAGGTGGGGAGGTTTCGGACTTTGCCTCCAGACAGGGGCATGCATATCAAAAGGCTGGAGGGAAGCTTTACCCACGGCTGGGATGGAGCCATCGCCCAAGCCCTGTTTCAATAACAAAAAGAAATAAAGGACCCTAATGGCCGGGCTGGCTCTGGGTTTTGGTGCACAATAATGGCCTTTAAATCTCCCCAAACCGAACGTTTCCCTCTAATCCTGGGAAGAAAGGAGTTGCTGGGTTGGCAGTTCCGTAAGAAAGGCGCCAATTTCGCAGATGTGCTCGTTGGGAAGGGCAGGGGGCGAAGGGCAGGCTCCCCCTGCCCGCTTCCTGTGCCTGGCCTCTCTGCTCTCCCGCTCCGGCACTTCCCTCCATTTCCCCCGGTTTCCTCCTGCCCCGCTGCGCTCCCCCCGCAGCCCTCGGCGCCCACCCCGGCTTTCCCCGCTGCCTCTCAGCAAAGCTGGGTTAAAGAAAAGAAACAAAACACAAACCAGCCCCTCCTCTCCCAGGGCAGACCAGGCTGGAGACTTCTCCCGGACAGCCACCATCCCCGCCAGCCGCTGCTCCAGCCGCTCCGGGCTCTTTACCATGTTCATCCCGGTGGGATCCGGCCGGGACGAGCTCCCCGACGTGGGGCAGGGGCTGCGGGGGCTGTGGGCAGGGCACTGCCGGCGGGCAGTGGCCGGGGGCTGTGGGCAGGGCTGGAGGCTTTGGGGGCTCTGGTACACAGGTGAGTCCCGCTCAGCGCTGGCCAGTCTTCTGTCCGAAGTCGTCACCGCTTCATTCTCCCCCTGAACAAGAGGACGTAAAGATGACAATGACACCTCGCTGTCCCCATGGCTGCCCGTCCAGCCCCGTGCAGCCCCAGAGGCGGGACTGGGATACCCGGACTTACTCCTCAATTGATTAAAAATTAGGAAACTGGAAACTGAGGCAGGAAAGTAGAGTATTAGTACTGCTCAGGGCACCCCCTCCTTGCCCTCTCCCGTTCCAAAGGAGGTCGATGCAGGACCACCTCTTGCCCCAGGACCACCATTCGCCCAGGGGTCTCCCCGCTCCCCTCTCCCGGCTTCCCGGGACTTGTGCCCCACGCTGGGACCACTCGGAAGAGTTTATTTCTCCTTCTTCGACGATCTCCCCTCCCCGGAGGCTCCTGGTGGGCTCGTCAAGAGGCGGATGCCAGCACAGCCCTCGGGTCGATACCTGCTCCGGCCACCCCGTCCCTCCGATCGGCCCCGGGGAGGCTTCGCGCCCGAGGCGCCACCGGGAATCTCTTTTCCTGCCGACAGAGAGGGAAGATGCGCTGTCAGATCCCCGAACGAGAAGCGAAAACAAAGGTGTTCGGCCCGGGGCAGCAGCGCCACCGTGTCCTGGTACCCCGGGCAGCTCCCTACGGTGCCCCCGGCCTGGAGGCGGCGCTGCCCGGGACGACGGAATCGGGCAGGGGACCCCGGCCCCCGAACCACCCCCGCCCCGCAGCCATCACTCCCCGTATCACCGAGGGGACCCTCCCGCCGCAGTGTCTGGCTCAGCCCCGGCCCGGCCCCGCGGGTCGCGGGGGGTCCCGCACCGGCCCCGCCGTGACAGTCCCGGGACGCGCCCCCGGGGCTCGCGGCGCCTCCGCGGGAAACTCCAAAAGTTGCAACGGGACCGGAGGGGTGGGCGGGACCAGGGGGACTTAGGGGACCGTGCCCGAGGCTGTGGGAGCAACGATCTCCCCAACACGCCCCAAAGCCGAGTGCCGGCAACAAGTGGCGGCGGGGCCCACCACCCCCTGCTCCCTGCCCGAGCCCCCAGGGCGAAGCCGCGAGTCTCCGGTTACCGGGCACCGGGACCGCCAGACCGGCCGGGGCGCTCCCGCCGCCGCGCTCCGGTGCGCCCGGTGCCGCCTTCCCCTCCCGCCTCATTGTCCCCCGCCACAGCCGCGGACAACAAAGCCGCCCACGAGGATGTGCCACGGCTCCGGCTCGGACCCTCCGGTCCCCCCGATCCAGCGCTCACCTGCGCCGCGGCGGGACGCGCCGTCCAGCGGGGCCGTGCCGCCGCTCGCCGCTGCCCGCGCCCCGGCCGGCCCCCGACAGCCCCGCGCTCCGGTTACATGGCGCTTTAACCCTGCCCGTGCTGGGCAGCCCCTCCTCCTCCTCCTCCTCCTTCGCCGCCCCATGGCGGGGGAGGGGAGCGCGGGGCCCGCACCGCCACCGCACCGGCCAGGCCCCCCAAGCCCATCAGAGGTACAGTCCTCAGGGTCCCGCATTCCCCCAGGGCCCGCATCCCCCGGGGCGCCACATCCTCCCCCGCCGTGACCCCACACCCCCCCCGGTAGCCCAATGTGTCCCATCCACTGCCCCACATCGCCTGGGACCACTGGCTAGCGCCCCACATCCCCCTTGTCTCAGCTCACATCGCCCTTGCCTCGGCTCCTCGCATATTCTTGCCGGTGCCCTGCATCACCTCCGCGGGGCTCAGCATCCCTCTCCGGGGGCTCCACATTCCTCTGATGTCTCACACCCTCCCGGGGCTCCCCACCCCCCGGTACCCTCCGGCGTCTGGTATCGCCTCCACTGCCTGGTATTCCCCAGGGTTCATCATTTCTCCGGGGCTCGGCCCTCGGAACCCCGCGCACCTCAATCCCCGAGGCAGAGGAGACTCCCTTGGCATCCCGGGGCCGGGCAGAGCCCTCGCCCACCGAGCCGCCACTCTGCCACTGGTTTCCAGCAGCACCATGCCCCACACAGCCCCATGCAGCACAACCCCGCAGCAGACAAAGCCTCACAAGTTTTACACTCAGTTTTTGTTTGTTCTTTCCCTTTCCCGTCCAGAAGCAGGACACTTGCAGGGCTGCGCCGGGGCCAGGGACACAACCCGCCTGTCTCCTGCCCCAGACAAAGCATCCGGAGTCCACGTGGGGTATAATCTTCCCTGCTCGCCTGTTATTCCTTCTAGATGCAGCAGAAAAGTGCATAACAGTAAGAAAAGGAATACGATTATCCTGGTGTGATAGAAATGAGTTTTCAAGGTCAGGAGGAAATCTCAGTTAGACAAAGTGTCTGAAATCTGCAGGACCAGCCCCAGGCCTGTACAGCAGGTTCCCCCCAAACCACACCTCCACCGCTGCTGAACACAAGCATTAAAAATTTGGCAGCAAATGTAAAAAAATGCTCTGCAAGTGAACAGGAGGAGCTGAGAAATCTACTCTGAATAAGCCCTTGGGGATACTAAACATCACCATTCAAACAAACATGTACCACATAAACCTAAAGCCAATTTGCAGCTCAGGCGAGTAGATTAAAAAAAGCAAATAAATTTTACTCCCATTTGTTTTTCCAGATTTAGGAAAGGGAAATGCTTTTGAGAGCTGTGCTCATGAGAGTTTCCAGGGCACTCTGAGGGTGGAATCAGCCCTTCCAGCATCCACGGGTTCCTCTCCCTTTCTACGGAAACCTTCCTGCTGCTGTTGGCCTTGCTGACCTGCCATCAATCTCCCGCCAGCCGAAACGCCCTCTTTCCCTCTCTGCCCCTCAGTTATCATTTAATTCAGGAGAGCAAGGCTCTGCAAACTGCTTGTGGGAAAGGTCTGGTACCAAACAAAGCAGCTCTGGCAGACGATGAGCCAAAGCTTGATCCTTTTCCTGTCTCTGCTACACACACCACAAAGAGATGCTGAGAGTTTATTTCTTAACAATCAGGAGAATTTATATGTCATTTCACAGGAAACAAGGTACCTCAACAGAGGATTTTATATCCAGGCACACATTCCAGGTACCTGCACCAGACTCTCAGCAGCTCCTGTTGAACCAGGCCTGGCATCAGCAGCCTCTGTCAGGAGAGTACCAAAGCAGCTCCCTCACTGCTTCCCACCAGCCCTGTGGCTTTCCAGCATAGACCAGTGATGAGACAAGGTTGTATGGGCAAAGTTCCTCCAGTCCAGAGCTGGAGCAGCTGCAAGGAGCAGGCAGCATGGCCAGGGCTCATGTGAGCAGGGAGGGAGAACTGGGGGTTCCCTCCCCATCCCTGGGCATAAGCAGCATGTCCTCTGCACACCACGGACCGCTGCATGCCACAGACACATCCCTGCCCATGATGCAGAAACTTCCATTGTGGATGGGAACTCCCATCGGCAGCAAAGCTGGGCTGCCCAGCTTCTGCAAAAAGTCATTCCAGCAAGAATCATCCCCCCATCTGGCTCTGCTCCTTTGGCTGGCTGGCATCTCAAATTCATGGAGCCAGTTGCCAAACAGCTGAAGGAGCCATTCCCTGTCACTATCACACAGTCAGGACTGGCAACACCCATTCACATTGGAAGTGACTCCTCATTTTTCACATTCATCCCAGCAACAATGCCAGCTCTTCCACACACAACTCCTCACTCCCAACCCTGAATCCTTCTCTTCACTGAAGGCTGCTCAGCCAGTGCCCTCTCTGAAATGCATCTGGGGTATGGCATCGGGCCCAGCTCCTCTCCGTCCACCCAGTTCTCCCACTTCAAGTGTCTTCCTAAAATTCTGCTTTGTCACCCTGGCCAGGCAAACCAATGCCACCCCATGCCCAGAGCTCTGCTCTGGCTGCTACCACCTCCCATCTTTCGCTTTGCACCCAAGGGTTTGAATTGAGACCTACTCCATGTATCACAGCAGTGTTCCTGGAGATCCTCCACAAATAAAGCAATTGAGCAAATACGTGTCATTACCTACAGCTGTCAGCAGTGTAACCTTGTTACCTCCGGATCTTGTGGGTCCCAGATTCCCACGTCCCAGTAACAGCTGAGCACTTGTTTAGTCCTCTTGCAGGCAGGGAGAAGCACCAGCACCATTAAATCAGCTTGGACAGTTGCAAGCTGGGGCTGAGAGCAGGAGGAACTTCTCTTTCCACCGAAGTCAGCAGCGATGCTCCTGCTGTGTTCAGGTTTTGGGGTTCCCATCTCAATGCACACACAGCTCAGTGGCTCTTTCCCAGCCCACAGCATTGTCACTGCACAGCATCCTTCACTGCAAGACCCCATCAGAGCACGTCCCACAGGGTGTCTCCTCCTCTTCCATGAGAATCTTCACAGTCTGAGCCCTCACCCCAGCCCTGCACTGGCTGCCTGCCTCTCCACCAGCTCCACCAGTGCTGCTCCATCACAGCTCCCAGTAATCAGTCACTCCTCACCGTGGCTCTCCAGAGCATGTCTGCTGTTCCTGGCACCTCTGCTGAGTCCAGAGAGAGCTGTGCCACTCAGCAGGGCTCTGCTGCTGGAAGCAAGGTCTGTTCCCCTTGTGGGAGAGCCTCATCCTGCTGCCACATGTGGGAATACAGCCCCAGCCTGCCTCACAGCTAGCTTTTCCCATCTGGGGGGAATTGGTGTTTACACAGAGATAGGAAATGTTATCCCTCCTACAAGAAGTTTCTAGCCCTTCCTGTGGGCTGGCCAGGCCCACATGATACAAACCTCTAATAAAAATAAGGTTAAAAATAAGTGTCATCTGTGTAACCAGAACATCTAGAAAGTCTGAAGCTACCCGCCTGCAAAACTTCAAACGCCAAGGCACACAAAGAAAAAATCTTCAATGCCTCTCTAACAAAGCTGGCCACAAAATCCTCTTTTTCCTAGAAAACAGGATATGCCTGCTACAGCCTAATCTGAAGTGACGAGGCCTCCCCAAGCCACCCTCCTAAGCACATATACTTGTACTGAGAGGAACGCTGCTCCCAGGGGGTGGCTGCTGGCAGAGCCCCCTCCCTCCATGCCGGGTCCAGAGCTGCTCCTGCCTGCCCGGGTCAGGAATTATGGTCCCTGCTCAGGAGCAGAGGAGTCGGTGGAAAGAGCGAGGGTTTTGCCTGTGGCTGCAAGGCAGGAGTGTGCCAGAGCCCAGCAGTGGAGCTCCCAGCCCTGCTCCACCTTTTCACGAAAGGCTGGCAGCTAGTTGCTCCTGCAGCAGTGTCTTCCTGGGACCAAAGACTGAGGAGTGTGATGGGGAGAGGAAGGGGCATTAAACTGCAGGAGAAACTGAAATCCTAGTCTCAAAGATCTCATTTATCCAGGGGGACAGAACTAACTCCTCAGAGGTTTCAGCTGGGCAGCCGGGAGGAGCCACAGCATCTCTCAGACTGTGTCCAGAAATGTTCTCTTAGTGCTTCCAGCCTAAGGCAGACAGAGCAGGTGTGCTCTGAGCAGCTGGTGAAAGCCCCCCTGACTTCTTCACACACTCTTGCCTTTCCAGGCCTTTCTCAGGCTGGCAAATGGAGGCAATGTTCCAAACTTCAGCTGCAAGGCTGACCTGGGAGCAACTGCAAAGAGCTGGGAGAGCTTGGCATAGATAATGTCATCAGAGAACAGGATGGGGACACCCCAGGATTTGATCTCTTGGGAATACATAATAAGGACCCTTCCCCGGGTAACACTCTCCAAGTCTTGGGGAAACTTTTCAAGTTTGACATGTGAAATGAAGCTGGGAAATGCATCTCAAGCAGGGCACTTGGATCCTCTGCTCAGTTTGGAGAGCACCATTTTCAGACTCTTTTCCTGAGCACTTGTGTGTCCCCACTGCTTTTTTGCTGCTGCCTTTACTTTGGTATTTATGGTGAACAAGGCCACATACCTGCAACTCCAAACTGCTGCCCTTGGCCTGTCCTCAGCTCTGATGAGTCCATCAGCGACGCGTTCTGCATGAGAATGGCCTGGCAGGAGCACCCATGGGTTGATGGCTGCACCCCTAAGGCAGCCCTGGGGCTCTGCCTGGGACGCAGATCACCATCCCCCGCCAGACACCCCCATAACTACGGTCATCACACTGCAACCTTCTCTTTTATTTGTGTAAATACTTCTTGATTTGAGAACTGAGTAGGTTCTGGCAGCGCAGAGCCGCCCGTGCCATAGCTGTGCTGATGGCACTCGCATGCCACACTGCCCTAAACTCATATCCCAGGAGGAAGGACCACCGAATTTCCTGGTGATTGTTTGAACAGGATGTTGTGATCACGTACCTCAGCCAAGACTCTTCTTCTTGGATCCCGTCACTCAACTTTCCTCAAGAATTTGGTTCTCTGCCTGAGAAATTGTTTAGCAGCGTTGGCGTCACCGTCCTGCCGTACCTCCGGCGTGCTCGCACACGCGCGCACCCAGACCGCCTT